TCCCTAAGACCCCTTGTGAAACAAGGAAAATAAAATAGGGTAGTTCTGTAAAGTAAATGAAATAATGTTCATTAAGTCATTAGCATGGTGCTTTACACACATTAAACTCTTAATAAGTGTTAGCTATTATAATTGTCTGTCTCTCTTCCACCCTCACACCCACCCATGGTATATCAGATGAGGCTGTGACCAGCTCAATATCTGAAGTGGAATTTTATTGTAAGGAGTCTCCCAGGTTCCAGATGTGAATAGGATTCCTCCTGAGAGAAGCAGAGATGTTGAAAAGAGATTGGAATTTCCAAGGATTCCAAGAGATTGAGGGAGATCAAAGATTCCAAGAGAGGAATGAGGGTGAGAGCCTATTACTGTAGGTCAGAGGGAATATAGAGGCAAAGACGGAGGGTTATCACACAAGGATATTGTCAACTTTTTGTCGGGGAAGAAAAACTTTTCCTCTACCCTGTTAGAACTGGAGGCCTGTGAATGAAGCTAATAAAAGACAAATTAATGTGGGTAAAGGCAAAATTTTTATTAATATTTACCTGCAGAAAAGAAGTAAACCCAAGTCTTGGGGTTAGACTCAGGGCATTATAGATCCCCCCTTTTTTAAATTTAATTTTTAGAAAGAGAGAGAAACTGATTTGTTCTCCCACTTATTTATGCATTGATTGGTTGATTCTTGTATGTGACCTGACTGGGGATCAAATCCACAACCCTGGTGTATGATGATGCTCTATCCAACCTAGCTACCTGGCCAGGGCCTTACATACCCTTTTAACAAAGGAAAGAGGCTTTGGGCTCAAAAGGACAATAAATTGTGGGGAAGTGACTAGGAAATATATGGGGGAAACTAATGGAAGGTAAGGGCTATTTGAGTAATGTCCATTTATGCCAATTCATCTTGGTGTTGACTCCCTGTCTTTAGTTATGCCCTGCTTTCAGGGAGATAAGAGGCATGCAGAGAGCTCTTCCTGCCTCTGTTGATTCTTTTTTTTGTTGTTGTTATTATTATAGATTTAATTCATTTATTTTTAGAGAGAGGGGAAGGGAGGGAGAAAGAGAGGGAGGGAAACATCAATATGTGGTTGCTTCTCAAGTGCCTCTTACTGGGGACATGGCCCACAGCTCAGGCATGTGCCCAGAGTGGGAATCAAACTGGAGACCCCTTTGTTTGTAGTCCGGCACTCAATTCACTGAGCCACACCAGCCAAAGCTGCCTCTGTTGATTCTTAATTGCCTTCAAGTAATAATAATCCTCATGCCAAAATGGCATACTTTGGGGTGGCATATTCTGATCCTCTTCATTTTGCCTTCCTCTTCAACTGCAAGGACCAGAGTCTAGCAAGCCCCATAGTAACAAAGCCTCCTTCTGCAGCTATAATGAACACCTCAGATCTAGCTCCCAGAGCAGTTCTCAGATGCAAAGAAGCTGCAGTACCTGGCCTGTGTTCCTATGTTCCCATCCCTTCAGGGCATCTAAGAAGGAATCTCAGAGAAGACACTCCTAGGCCAGGGAGGAAGCCATAAAAGAAGCATATCTGGACCTCAGGTGATTAAGATTTACCCCAATTTTCTGACAAGAGTCTCTGCCTTTGGGAGTTCTGGTGAGCCACACTGACTTCTCTGAGAACTGCCCTCCACTAATAGGCCTGGGATCCTGTTATTCTTTTAGAAGAATGTGCATATGCTTTCTTTACCCAGCTGACAGGCCTAGGATAGATCCTCAATCCAGAAAAGCCAATTTAGAACCTGTGCACAAACAATCAGATTTTCCATCAATTTGGAATTGGGATTGGAGATCATTTAGCTGAAGTCACAGGACCTAGAAGGTCATGCAGAGGACACAGGCCTGAAAAGAGAATGAAGTAGATAGTCTGTGATGTCTAGGTCTTCAAGAGATAGGGCTCAAACCCTGGCTGGTGTGGCTCAGTGGATTAAGTGCCAGCCCAAGAGCCAAATGGTCACCAGTTGGAAGTCAGGGCACATGACTGGGTTGCCAATCAGGTCCCCAGTGGTGGGGCACACAAGAGGCCACTACACATTTATGTTTCTCTCCCTCTCTTTCTCCTTTCCCCTCTCCCTAAAAATAAAATTTAAAAATCTTTAAAAAAAGAGATAGGACTCAAAACTGGTTCCTGACTGGCCAGTTCCAGCTCTCCTATGGCCTGGCTGAACTTCCTGGGATTGAGCTGCATGACGCTCTCTTTTTTACTAAGTAATTCCAATGTTTCTGTTACTTGAAGCTTAGAGACCCTTGGCTAAGGCACGTTCTTTGACCCCATGGCTTGTACAAGGTCCCTCAGGGCCTGAGCTTCCGACCCAAAGCTCTGGCTTCCATCCTGGAGTTCAGACCTTGAATAGTGAGTCTCCCAGGGGCAACATGCCCAGATAGAATTCAGCCCACATTTGGAGGGAGAGCCAGCACCATCACCCACCACTGTTCCAGGGCAGGGAGTGGAATACATGGTACCCACAGGTCCTCTCCCAGAAATAACAATAGTAATAGCTGACACTGATGGCACCATGCTGTTATATTCTCTCCAGTCCTCAAAACAACCCTGACTGGTTTTAAATGTTTTTACTATTATCTAACTTAAAATATACACAGAGATCAAAACAAGCATAAATTCCTCATGCTTATAAGCTTTTATGGAAATAGGAAGCCAAAAGATTGCCAACCAAAACCACTAAAACTAATATAAACATTAGTTGATATTGTCAATTACTTTTTAACTGCAATTAAATTGCTGATGTTCTATGTATTAAAAATAAAGCAAACAAAAATTGTAACTCTTTAAGTTAGGTATTCCTGTGGGCATCTGTGCTGTAGATGAGGAAATGGTGGCTCAGAGGGGTAAAGAATATCTCCCAAGGTCAAACAGCTGGGCATTATAATCAACCAAGATAACTATAGAGTCCTAACTGCCCAAACTTGAGGCCCAGCTGCCAGTGTCCTGGGCTGCCCCTTCATTGAAATGGAGCTCATGAATGGGTAGGGATAGATCTTGAAAAATACAGCCTGGAACAGAGCAAGTGCTTGTTAAAGGTTTGTTGACTGACTGAAAGATTGAATGAGTGAATTTGAAGATATGCAGTTGTTTAAAAGACAGTCTGCTTCACCCTGACCATGCAGAGGCTTACAATTCAGTACTCTTTACTTATCGCTGTTGCCAGCAGCCCTTCCCACCTCATTACCCAGAAGCTAGTCTAATGGCATTAACCATCCTGGCCAGCCAGGATACCATTAAGAATTTCAGCCCAGCCTCTGTGCCCCCACCCTTGATCTTGGCTCTGGGCCCTGGGCTGGGAGAGTGGTCTGGTTGTTTACCAGGAATTTGGACCTTCTTCAGAGAAAAGCACAGATGACCTATTAGTCTAATTCAAGCACTTAGCAAGGAATGACTGTACCATTCACACCCCAGCCCTAGACTAATGGAGCCAAAGAGCCAAAGCAAATGGAGAGGTCTTGACAGCTCAGAGATCTTCCTGAGAGGGGAAGAATGGGAAGTTCCAGCCAGTGCCCCACTGGACTTTGCAGGGAGGCAGGTTTTGGGGGCATTTCCTGGGGCAGGGTGGGCTATGGGGATACAAAAATGTGTAGGGAGAGGCTTCCCTATTTCACCCATCACTCTGGCAGCTACTCTTCACATCCTACCACTAGTCACCTCCTCATTGCCTTAAAACTTAGCTGGAGAAAAATAGAAAAACAAGCAAATATCCATCAGTGCAGAATGGGTTAAATAAAATGTGTATGTAGAAATATGCATTCATACAAGTCCATGTTATACAGGTGATAAAAAGGATGATGTAGCCCAAGGTCTATTCATGGATGCTGAAAGATGCTAAGACTTAGAGTTTGATGTGTAGCATCTGCCTCCGCTTATGTAAAAATTATACATACCCATAAATTCTCGTGTGCACAGATGCACAGGGAGTAGGTTTGGAAGTTTGAGAGTAAGATTTTAAAGATTTTTTAATTTCTTCTTGAAAATTACCTATATCATCCAAATTCTCTACAAAAACCTTATACTATAATTGTTAACTTATTTGAGTTCTTACTACCTATCAGTCACAGTGCTTTTACATCGATTATCTCATTTCTTATAAAGTAGGTTCTAGGCTCCTTCTGTGTTGCAGGTATGGATAGTAAGGCCCAAAGGGGTTAAGCCCAAGGTCACATAGCTAATGACTGACAAAGTCAAGTGTTGTTGGAGGATTAAAAGAATTAATCCTCATGTACTTGCATACAGTAGGGGCTCAATAACTGAGGGTTATCATTATGATAATTGCATAGCACTTATCACTCTGTATTTTAAATTTTACTATCTTGTTTCTTCCTCTGCCCTGGTGTGTGAAAGCCTTTAAAACTGCATTCGAGTATTATTACCTTGGAATCTCCTACACTTAGCACAGCGCCTTGTACCCAGCACTCATCAGGTGCTTATGGAAAGAGTGAGTGAATGAGTTGTCAGACAAATGTCCACAGCTTTGTAAATATATTCTTCTGACTACGTTGCATAGGTGGCTATTTCCTTATCCCGACGGGATTTCCAATTAGATCAAGAACCAGTCTCCCCTTTCCTCTGGCCCCCACCATAGTGTAGAACAAACCAATAACATAAGCTGGTACTCAATAAATGTTATGGCTGACTAAGGACCACCCCCCTTCTAAGCTGCTGTGGCAGATCCCAGGCACTATCCCAGAAATGGTTGGAGCTTGGACAGATACAGGTCCACAGCCTCACATAAACTATTTTTTCCCTTCCAACTCCATGTCGAAAGCCACACAGAGAGGCTGAGACTTGCCTGAGGTCACATAGCACTTGGTGGCAGAGTTGATGTGTCTTCTGATCACCTGGTCTGTGCTCATCTATCTGTAAAATCTCTAGTTCTGTATAAATTCATAATGTGAGAAAGTGGAAAGAGAGGAAGATTTTAAGTCAAAATGTTTAATTATGATCCAAGAGATAGGGAGAACTTTGGGACAATAGCAGGAAGAAAGCAAAGTTTAAATGCTCCAGCTTCTGAGCTCAAATGTTCTGTAGAATCCCAGAGCAGGACATGCAGCAGGTTCCCACTCTCCATTCAGAGAAGGAGACAAGGGGAGAGGAGTCTAGGCTGCCTCAGAACACTCAGCCCTGACTACCTGTTGAATGCAATAGAGAATGACTGATTTGTTAGAACCTGGTGATCCTGATGGGAAGGGACCAGGAAAGAGTTTAGTAGAACTGGCCACCACCAGAAGATATGGCTAAACCATGGGGTCCAATTCCTAAGAAGTGGAGGGAATGAGAACTGAGCCAGTCAGCTTCCATTGTGTGAATGTGGGGTGGGAGGTGGGGGCGGGTCAGGGCTGTCATGTTGTCATGCACCTCCTTCATGATGCCATTCTTTCCTCACTTCTTGTAGGTGGCAGGTCAGACTGGGTGTAGTAGAGGGGAAGAGGGCCCCAGGGAAGTCCAGTTACCAGGAACTTGGGAGCAGAATCAAGGTAAAAGTGCAGGAGAAAAAAGAGAGCATCCACGGCTGTGGCCTCAGAGCAAGGATTTTGTTCTGTGGAAGAAATGCAATGGAGTCAGCTCCACTCCCTTCATCACCTCAGCCTCAGTCATTTCCCCTTCCCCTATAGTGCCCATAAGAGGTCAAAAGTATTCATGACAACAACGAGGTCACCCCCTCCATCCCCTTGTCTGCTTTACCTGGGTTTTCCCCAGATGGTTTGGTAAAGGTATGAGGAGTGTAATAGATGAGGCCCTACCTGGAGTTCCTTCCCGGGTGAGGTAGAGCCCTGGGAGAAGAGTTTGCTGTGTGAATGCATCTGATCTGCAATGGCCGTCGCTGAAAAGAAAAGAGAAGGGAGGTTGGAAGCGGACAGATGATGGAGATTTCTCAGGCTCCCAAGGCAGAATAAGGAATGTCTCAGGAACCCTGGGATGCACAAGGGTAGATAGGTGGCAGGTGGGAATGGGAAATTGTCTTGTTCTGCTTGGTTATTCCTTGAGCTGAATAGTGCTGAGTGTCCCTGGGCCCAGATAGGTTTAACAGGCAGCTTGGGGGTCATTTAGGGAGCAGGAGAAGGAAGAAAGGCCCAGGCTAAGGGATGTAAACCTATTCTGAGGAGGGGGCTGATCTGGCAGCAAGAGATGGATGGAGCTGGCCCTTTTCCTTCTCCCTGGGTCCAGCTGACCTGACCACTATGCAGGGAGCAGATGGAGCACACTCACTGAGACAGTGGTTCTGGGAAAAAAACTGTTCCAGCCGCTCACACTCCTCCTGCAGGTTGCCACTGCCTCGGCAGGTACAGCTTAAGGCAACACTGGCATTGACGTTGCTGATAAAGTTGGGGGTCATGGCAGTCCCTGTGAGGTGAAAAAGGAACTGTCAGGACTTAGGCCAATGCCAGCTTCAGCTCCCACCCTCCTTCACCCTTCCCAGGAACACTCCACCTGGGTTCAGTAGCCACAGCATTCTTACCCCAAGGCCAACCTGTGGGCTCCCTACACACATCCTCTAGCCTCACCAATCAGCCCCATGTATGCTTGCAGACATCTGGACTGCTCTGTAGCACAGGTCCCTAGGATGTCCATGGGATGGCAATGGGTCTGAAAATCGGCCAGGCGTGATCTGAAAGAAAAAATTCAAGAGCTTTCTTTAAGGGTCTGGCCTGCAGCCTTCACCTTTCCTGGCCCTGTAGTTGACAGGCCCATCTTCATGCCAAATCCTCCTCTACTTTCAGAGCTGGGCCCAGTGAGGTCTGCTGCAGTCACAGTGAAATGCACAATCATCCCAGTCCCCACAGCATAGCACTGTGAATTTGGGCTCCACGATCCTGAGTTAGGAAATCTCAGACAGCTTCTTTAACCTCAGTCTCCTCAACTGTAAATAAAGATTGTGGGTTTTTGTGAGAATGAAATATGAGAATGTATGTATAGCACTTAGCATGGTGTCTGGTACTTTTGAAGTGTTTAATGAACATTAGATATTGTTATTATTAACATTCATCCTACAATAGGTAAAGTCAGTTATTTTTGGATAAGAGAATTCTGAGTATGTTTCTCTGTATAAATTTCTGTAGTTTTCCTTATATTTTGCTTTGTGTTAGATTGGTGGTTTACTTCTCTGCCACCCCCACTCAAATGCAACCTCCTTGAAGGAAGGAACAACACCTTTACATCTAGTCCAGCACTTGTTATGTTATAGTACTAGCTAGCAGCACAATAATAGGTAGTGTGGCAGAGAGGTTAGCAGCACTGACTCTAGGCCAGACTTCATTCCAAACCTTATTCACAAATTTGACTTACTACTTGGATTTTTTTTAAGATTTTATTTACTTATTTTTAGAGGGGGAAGGGAGGAAGATAGAGAGAGAGAGACAGAGAGAGAGACAGAGAGCGAAACATCAATGTGCGGTTGCTGGGGGTTATGGCCTGCAACCCAGGAATGTACCCTAGCTGGGAATCAAACCTGGGACACTTTGGTTCCCAGCCCGAGCTCAATCCACTGAGCTACGCCAGCCAGGGCTACTACTTGGATTTTTAACCTTTCTCTTCTGTGGCTTCTTCATTTGTAAACTGAGGATGACAAAAAAAAAAAATAAAAACAGCATCTCCTACAGGGTTCTTGTAAGTGAGGTTTAGATGAGTTAATTAATACACGGTAAGTATTAAAACAGTACCTAGACCATAGTAAGTACTTAGTAAGTATTAGTGTTGTGATTATTGAGAGCTCTAACTATATAATATTTTGCAGAAGAGGAAAGTGGGACTCAGAGGTTAAATAACTTGCCCAAGGTACAGAGAAGTAAGTGGTAGAACCAGACTGCAAAACAAGGTTGGTATGACTCCATTGCCAACAAATGTCACTTGAATGGATGACAACTTCAATTTGGTGAGTGTTTTGTCCTGAGAAGGCAGAGGAAAGCCAGGTCAGAATTTGGCTGGAGAATATGCAGCAAACACCTTGCAAATCTTCATGCCCTTTGATTTGGTATTGGTACTTAAAGCAACACATCCTAATCAATAATTACATTTGTGCATAAAGATTAACAAACAAGAGTGATATCTATGCAGCATTATTTAGAAAACAACCTAAATATCCAACAATAGAGAATAATTAAATAAAGTATGGGACATCCATAAAATGAAGTACAATGTAGGCTCTTAAAAATCAAGTTGTTAACCTGGCTGGTGTGGCTCAGTGGATTGAGCGCTGGCCTGCAAACCAAAGGGTTGCCAATTCAATTCCCAGTCAGGGCACATGCCTGGGTTGTGGGCCAGGTCCCTATAAGGGGGCATGCAAGAGGCAACCACAAAAAAAAAATCAAACTTCTGGCCAAGTTGGAGGTGTGGGTAGACACACTGTGCCTCCTCACACAACCAAAATAAGGACAACAACAATTTAGAAATAAAATAACAACCAAAACTGACAGAAAATTGAACTGTATGGAAGTCCGACAACAAAGGAGTTAAAATAGACACATTCATTCAGACCAGTAGGAGGGGTGGAGTCGGGCCTCGGGTAAGAGAGGGGTCATGGCAAAAAAAAGCAGTGGTACCAGGCACACAGGCAGCAGTTGACAAACCCCGGGCGTGCAAGATGGCAGTGGGTGGACCCTGGGCGCACAGGCAGTGGCTGGCAGACCCCGAGCACAGGGTAACAACGGGAAGACTCAGCAAGGTGGCGATTGTGAAGCAGGGCACGGTGCCCAAGGTGGCTGGCTGACCAGTCAGTCCCACATTCTCATGCAGATAAACCAGGCGAAACTGGGGAGAGAGACAGACTGCACAACCCAGGGCCCCAGTATGGGAAAATAAAGCCGCAAAACAACAATTGAAAACACCTGTGGAGGTTGAGGTGCCTGCAGAGACTCCTACCTTCACAGGAGAGTTTGTTGGGGAGACCCACAGGGTGCTAGGACATATACAAGCCACCACCTGGGAATCAGCACCAGAAAGGCCCAGTTTGCTTGGGGGAAACCGTGGAAGGGACTGAAATACAATGGAGAGAGGAGCAAGTGCCATTATTCCCCCTCAGACCCCACCCCCACATATAGCATCACAATCCAGCAACTGGGTTGCCCAGCCCTAGTGAACATCTAAGGCTCTGCCCCTCATACCTTACAGGCGTAACAAGACCAAAAAAAAATGGCGCAAATGGAAGAACAGCTCAAAAGCTCCACAGCAAATACAACTAAGCGACCAAGAGATAGCCAACCTATCAGATGCACAGTTCAAAGCACTGGTGATCAGGATGCTCACAGAATTGGTTGAATTTGGTCACAAATTAGATGAAAAAAGGAAGGCTACACTAAGTGAAATGAAGGAAAATGCACAGGAAACCAATAGGGATAGGAAGAAAACTGTGACTCAAATCAATGGAGTGGACCAGAAGAAAGAAAGAAACAACCAAAAAGAAAAGAATGAAGAAACATGAATTCAAAAAAATGAGGAGAGACTTAGGAACTTCCAAGACATCTTGAAACATTCCAACATCCGAATTATAGGGGTACCAGAAGGGGAAGAGGAAGAACAACAAGTGGAAAAGTTATTTCAACAAATAATAGAGAACTTCCCCAATCTGGCAAAAGAAATAGGCTTCCAGGAAGTCCAGGAAGCTCAGAGAGTCCCAAAGAAGTTGGACCCAAGAAGGAACACACCAAGGCACATCATAATTACATTACCCAAGGTAAAAAAGAAGGAGAGAATCCTAGAAGCAGCAAGAGATAAGAAGACAGTAACCTACAAAGGAGTTCCCATCAGACTGTCAGCTGATTTCTCAAAAGAGACCTTACAGGCAAGAAGGGGCTGGAAAGAAGTATTCCAATTTATGAAAGGCAAGGATCTACATCCCAGATTGCTCTATCCAGCAAAGCTTTCCTTTAGAATGGAAGGGCAAGATAAAGTGCTTCTCAGATAAGGTCAAGTTAAAGGAGTTCATCATCACCGAGCCCTTATTATATGAAATGTTAAAGGGACTTACCTAAGAAAAAGAAGATAAAAAAAATGTATAGTTAAATGACAGCAAATTCACAATCATTAACAACCACACCTAAAACAAAAACAAAAAGCAAACTAAGCAAACAACTAGAACAGGAACAGAAATGGAGATTACAGAAATGGAGATTACATGGAGGGTTATCAATAAGGGGAGTGGGAGGAGGAGAGAGGGGGAAAAGGTACAGAGAATAAGTAGCATAGATGGTAGGTAGCAAACAGACAGTGGGAGGGTAAGAATAGTATGGGAAATGTAGAAGCTAAAGAAATTATGACACATGGATATGAACTAAAGGGGGGGGAATGTGGGTGGGAAAGGGTGTGCAGTGTGGAGGCGAATGAAGGGAGGAAAATGGGACAACTGTAATAGCATAATCGATAAAATGTATTTTTAAAAAATCATTAAAAAATCATGTTGTCAAAGGATAGTAAATGACGAAATAAGCAACACCATTTACTGGGCACTTACTTTGTACCAGCAGATTAAGCACTGTCCATAAGTTATGTACTTCGACTCTCACCAAAATCCTATGAAGTCTGTATTATTATCTCAGTTTGTACAAAGGACTAAGTGGAAAGCTGGGTGAAGTGATGGAATAGGTTAAGTGATGGGCCCAAGGTCACACAGACCCAGGACAAATTCAGATCAGTCTGACTTCAGAGCCTGTCTTCACCACTGTTCCATACTGCCTCCACCAGAAAGTGCTCATGAGGTACCCACCGTAAATGCAAAAAAAAAAAAAAAGATACAATATAAGATGCAAATATATTCCTCGAATATCAAATTTTTTTTCTATATATACAAAAAGGACTAAAAGGATTTGCTCCCCCAAAGTATGGCAGATTATCTTTAGGTGATGGATTTTTAAAGATTTTATTTATTTATTTATTTTTAAAGAAAGGGGAAGGGAGGGAGAAAGAGAGGGAGAGAAACATCTGTCAGTTGCCTTTAGCTTGCCTCCAGCCAGGGACCTGGCCTGCAGCCCAGACATATGCCCTAACCAGGAATCGAACTGGCGACATTTTGGGTCACAGGCAGCGCTCAATCCACTGAACTGATTTTGTGTGATATTTTTATATTTTCTGAAGTTTTTACACAAAGAAAATACTATATGTTCTTTTTGAGAAATGAGTTTCATAAAATATCGGAAGATAGATACATCGTTAAGTCAGTCCACGGACCCTGGGGAGTTGGACCCTGCCTCCCACTGAGGGTGCCTGGAGGGAGTGGTGTGCACTGTGCCCTGCCCTTGCCTACCTGGCCCACCCTCACCCACCTCCCCAACCCCATACCTGCACAGTGGGTCTGAGAGACAGAGGCGCCGCAGCTCCAGGCAGTTGGGGGTCCCAGATGGCAGCGCGCAGCTGGGGGCAATGGTGTTGCGCCGTCGCTGCCCACAGCTCAGGTCAGAAGGTGCACACGGGCACAACAGCAGACCCTGTGCGTGGGATGCCCCAGCATTGTCAAAGAAGGCACGCAGCTGCCGGAGGCAGGTGTGACGCTGGCAGTGGGGCCTCGAACACGCCTCCCCATAGGCTTTGCGCAGGCGGTCACACTTGTCATTAAGAGTGCACAGCATGGCGAACTTGAGGCAGAGGTCCGAGTCTGTGTAAGAAGCAACACCAAGTCACCAATCCTCTGCAAAACCAGGTTCCCTTTGGAACCAAACACCCTCCACACCTCTCCTCAACTCTCTGATTTAACAGGTATTGGTAGTGAGGGTAGGAAGAAAAGGGAGGACTGCCCTGCGTAAGCCACTTCTCTACACACAAACTACGTCTGGTATTCGTGAGCCTCCGTCATGCTACTCCTCAGCCTGACTAGGTTTAAAAAAAAAAAAAAAAAAGAAAAGCCACATACACCTAAGGCTCATTTATCTAGAATTCAAGCAGCCAGAGGCTCAGCCAAAACCCTTTCCTTAGTCCTATGCATTGAATGAGATCTCATGGTGGAAATAAGCTAGAGGCCCTATAACAATCTAAAACTTTCTGAACTGTCCAACAAATGCAACAAAATTCTACTTAGGATTTTTGTTTTGTTTTACGTCTGTCTATTCTGCTCAGTATTAATATCACCTGCCTGTCTTTCATTGACTCATATATGCATAAAAGTTTCTCATACTCTTGAATCTCGGGAAATTATGGTGATATTTCTATTAAGAGAATATTCCAACAGTCAGAACAATGGAGTAACTGAAACAGGCAAATTCCTGGATTCCTTGTAGTAACTAAGAGTTTATGTATAAATCTCTACGTTTTTCTCTCAAAATTCTAATGTAACAGACTATATAACACTCACATCTTTCTCACAGACAGTAGTGCATGTGCACATGTGTTCCCTTCCAATTAACGCAAGAGCTCCACTTTCCTGAAAAACATGCATTGTAGTCCTTGCCAGACAGATGGCTCCCCACCCTGAGACATCCCTGAAGCGTCACACTCTCTCTAACCATTTTCCCTGCCCAGCACCTCGCCCATCCCATTAAAATGGTTGAAAACAATCATTTCTTAGTCTTCAGGGACAAAAAGAAAAAACAAAACAAAACAAAACAAAACAAAAAACTACTTTTGTGGCTGCCTTGAATGAGGGTAAAGACTCCATTTCAGCACATTTTCCTGGGACTGCTGCCACTCCCACCAAACCTCTACAGAGAGACCCACCTTCTGGAACTAGGGAGCCCTAATGGGCTCTCTTCGAATGCTTCACTAATGACAATCACTCCTGAATGATTCTTATGAGACCAGACCATGCCCCACAACTCAGACTCCCACCCTATGCAATCCTGCTTTAGTTACCTGGCAGGTGCACACTCTTCCCCCACAGGCCCTCCAGTTTGTGTTCCCCAAGTGGAGCTCATGCCCAGCCCCCACACCACGGTTTCCACTTGCCCTCCACACCTGGTTTGAGCATGCTCAGTTCTCTGAGATTCATTTCCAAGGGTTTTCTGGTCACTGTGTCTTCATAGGGGGAGACATCCAGCTCATAGTCACCTAGAGAGGAGGTGGAGAGCACCAGAGTCCTGAGGAAGGTTCTGGGGGCAGGTGCAGGAGGGCCTGAGGCTGCTGAGTCAGACCTCAAAGCCCATTAAGAGAAAAGGAAAATACAGTCTCTTGCTAACTAGCTGCAAGCTCTGCAGAAGTGAGAAAAAAATCAGGGCCATAAAGTATAGGCTGGGTGCAATGAATAACCTAGGTTTAATGATGAGAATACTCATAATGATGAGTAAAGGTGCCATGCTGAGCACACTGTGTGGTGGACACAATGGTGTAAATGAAAACAATTTTATATATATTGTGTATAAAATGATCTCATTAAATATATATTCAATCTCATTTAATCCTCCTGAGAAGGCTTTGGGTAGGTAAGAAGAAACAGGATGAGAGAAGTTAAGTTACTCACTTAGGCTCACATAAGCTAAGAAATGGAGCTGGGATTTGAAATCTCGACTATCTGATTGCAGAATCTTGGTTCCTAACTACTAGACATATTGCCTATGGGTCCATGAGCAGGCAAAGGGACTCTGTCTTGTTTTCTCTTCCTACTGGAGAGGGGACACTGATAGAGTCTGTTCCAGGCCTGACCATTTGGCTATGGCAAAGCATTACATGCTGTGGAGGTGGAAGTGAGACCAGGTTCCAAACTGAACCTGAGGGAGAAGAGCAAAGAAGGGAGAAGTAATGATCTTGAAGGAAACACATTTTCTCAGTCACCTCCAAGAGGTTGTGGACTCCTTAAGGGGCTTACTGGGTCTTATATAATCACTACATAGTTCATATATTGTACATGGTAGATATTCAATAAATGTTGGTTAATCTTGTTGGAAGAGAGAGGTGAGAGAGGTGAGCTTGCAGGGTTTTCACACAATAAGACTCTGAACACATCTTTTGGAGGAAAGGAATATGGATGATGTTAGACAAGCAGGAGAGGATAGTTTGGGTAGTTGGGAATACCTGATGCTCCCAAGGGAAAAGGTGGTGGGAGGAGAAGATTCAAGGAAAAGTCTCAGGGGAAGTTCTGAAACAGAAGGGATTAAGATGAGGAGTGGAAAGCAGGAAACAAGGAGTGTGGTAAATTGTACCAATTTACTGTTGCTGTTTCCAATTATTTCCTATCCATCCTGTGGGAAAATGACACCTTCCTACCTCTTGCAATGTGATTTTCAGGCCCCCACCCACTGTCAGGCTCAGCCATTTGATTTGCTTTGGCCTGTGCATTGTGAGTGAAGTTGTGTAAATCACATCTGAGAAGAACTATCACCTGGTTCTGCTGTTGATCTTCTCCCTCTACCAGCCTGGATCCCTGAATGAAAAAGCCAGGTAGAGCAAAGACAAAGTCAGCTCATAGAAGCCTGCAGCAGATGTATAACATGAGTAAGAAATAAATTTTTGTTGAAAGACAGAAATTGTGGGCTTGGTTGGTTGTTAGTGCGGCATGTCCTAGCACATTCTTACTAAAAATGTGGAGTGCTGCAAGAACAAAAAAATAGTCTAAAATATATGGTATTTGGGACTGAGCAGTGGGTTGTGAACTTGGAAGAAAGGTAATGTACTGAATGAGCTTGTGCTTTAACATGAGAAGCTGAGAAGCAGAAGTTTACTAGTATGTCTTAACTGCTAGTAGTTGCATTTGGCAAAGTACTCCAAGGAAGACAAAAGTTCAGAGAAGAACTGGCCAGTCTACAAAAAGAGAAGAAATGGAAAAGGGAGAATCCAGAAATTTTGGGACGTACAGGATTAAGAAAAGTTGCAATTGCTTCTCATATTCAAATGGTAAAAGATAAAATTAAAAAATGCTTTGAGTAATAAGGTCTATTACAACTCATCCTTGGAGCAAGACCAAAACAAGTTTGTAGTTATCATTCCCTTCGTGGGGATCTCTCATTAACTAAAGCGGTATCCAGTAAATCCTGCCAGTTGGACAAATGAGGTCAGGGGAAAAAGACTAAGGTAATGACCCTCTCACAGAAGTCCGATAAGGGTAATTCTAATTCAGTCTAGAAAGAGACACATGCCTTGAAAAGAACGATACGAAAGGCCATCACTGGCACAGGAGGTGATGAAAACCAAAGTATAAAAAGAAATTATGTTTTGAGAGAGTGAACTGCTAAGAGCCACCAGTTTGGATTAAAAGATACTGTGACTATTTGAGACTTAAAATGCCCTAATATTCTTCAGATAGAAAACAAGCTGAAAATAGTGCTCAGTTCCCAAGGAGGTCAGAGTCTCCACGCCCTGCTCAGATGTGACCAAAGAAAACACAGCCAGTCTGAATTATGTCTTCTATGTTGTTTTGTTATAACATTGATGAGGGGAAAAAATTGATTCCCAGCAAAGAAACTGTCTGTATGGAGTTGGAGGTCTCTCCATGTCTACATGAATTTTCTCTGGGTACTCTGGCTTCCTCCTCCATCCTAAATATATGCACGTTAGGTGAACTGGCGTGTGTACACTGTCCCAATCTGAGGGAGTGTGGCTGGGGCTGTGAGTGGCCCTGTGATGGAAGGGTGTCCTGTCCAGGGTGGATTCCTGCCTTGCACCCTGAGCTGCCAGTATAGGCTGGGGTCACTCCCAACCCTGATCTAGAATAAATGGGTTGGAAAATAATTGTCTTACTTGTTTTTACTAATATTTTTTAAATGTATGTATAGCTCATATTTATTTCAATGTTTAATATCATAAGTGTTTTTGGGTCTTTATTTAGGAATCTGGTGATGTTTTGAGGCCCGATATATGCTACAAGAACTTATTATATCAATTACTCTATGGGAAAATGGGTTTCATTATATGTTGTTTGGCTTAAAGTCCCAGCTTCCAAGAATCTTGATGACACTGAGTGAGGATTTATTGTAACAGAAAAAGAAGGACCTCCCAGGGAGCTGGGCCAAGAGCCCTAGAGAACAATGAGTAGAGCAACTCTCCCATGCAGTAAAAACAGGGCCATATTAAAGAACAACCACTGCTCCCAAGGAAGATGGATATTGTGACATTTGTCCAGTGAGCCTTCAGAGTTGCTATGAATCAATGTCTGCTGCGTGCCTCCCATCCCTCCCCTTTCTTACTGAAATTATCTGTTATGGTTTTTCCTGTCCCTGTTCCATTAAAATATATTGAGTATGTAATGGGAGGCAGATGACTTGTCTTCTTAGTCTATAAGTTTCTGTTTCCTTTTCTTTCTTTCTTTCTTTTCCTTCCTTCCTTCCTTCCTTCCTTCCTTCCTTCCTTCCTTCCTTTCTGTACTTGATTTTTTTTAGGTTTTTCCTTTCTTTTTTTTTAAAGTATACCTTATTGATTATATTATTACAGTTGTCCCAATTTTCCCCCCATTGTCCCCCTCCTCTTGGCAAGCCCCTTCCTTCCAGCAATCCCCCCTTAGTTAATGTCCATGAGTGTTGCATGTAAGTTCCTTGGCTTCTCCATTTCCTTGCTAAAAATCCCCCTGTCTATTTTGTTCCTACCAATGAAGCTTCTTAATCACCACACCATTTCCCCCATTTTCCACCTTCCCCCACACAGCTGATAACTCTCCAAATGATTTCCATACTTATTATTCTGTTCCTGTTCTGGTTGTTTGCATAGTTGTTTTTTGTTGTTGTTGTTGTTTTAGATTCAGTTGTTGACAGTTGTAAATTTGTTACCTTTTAATGTTCCCAGTTTGGATCTTCTTTTTCTGAAATAAGTCCCTTTAACATTTCATGGAATAATGGCTTGATAGTGATGAACTCCTTTAGCTTTACCTTGTCTGGGAAGTTCTTTATCTGCCCTTCCATTCTAAATGATAGCTTTGCTGGAGAGAGTAATCTTGGTTGTAGGTCCTTGCTTTTCATGACTTTGAATACTTCTTGTCAGTCCCTTCTAGCCTTCCAAGTTTCTTTTGAGAAATCAGCTGATAGTCTTATGAGTACTCCTTTGTAGGTAACTCTCTGCTTTTTTTTTCTAGCTGCCTTTAAGATTCTCTCTTTATATTTTTAACCTTTGGCATTTTAATTATGATGTGTTTTGGTGTGGTTCTCTTTGGGTCCAACTTGTTTGGAATTCTCTGTGCTTCCTGGACTTGTATGTCTATTTCCTTTGCCAAAATAGCAACTTTTTCTTTCATTATTTTTTTCAAGTAAGTTTTCAATTCCTTGCTCTTCCTCTTCTCCTTCCCTATAATTCAGATGTTGGCACATTTAGAGATGTTGTAGATTCTTCTTATTCTCTCCTCATTTTTTGCATTCTTGTTTCTTCATTCTGTACTAGTTGACTTTATTTCTTCCTTATGTTCCAAATCATTGATTTGAACCCTGGCCTCCTTCTCTTCACTGCTGGTTCCCTGTGAATGTTTCTGTATTTCACTTGGTGTAGCCTTCATTTCTTCCCTTATGTGTTTGCCATGCTCACCGAGTTCTCTGAGCATTCTGATCACCAGTGTTTTGAACTGTGCATCTGATAGTTTGACTCTTTCCATTTCACTTTGTTCTTTTTCTGGAGTTTTGATGTGTTCTTTCATTTGGGTCATATTTCTTTGTGTCCTCAATTTGGCAGCCTCCCTGTGTTTGTTTCTGTGTATTAGGTAGAGCTGCTTCTTATTCTCTGTCTTAGTAGCATGGTCTATGTAGAAAAGGCACCTGTAAATTGTGTGGGGCAGAGCCTTAGGTAATTGCTAGGGTGGGACAGCCCACTTCACCGCTTTGGGGCTCTGTGTGTGGGGGGGAGGGCTCAGGGAGGGGACAATGCCACTGCATGGTTTCTGGAGGTTTGCCTGGCACTCATCCTATTTCCAGTCACTTCATCTGTTTCCTGTATGCTACTGGTATCCCTTTAACTGCTGAAACTGAGAGTGGGTGGGTTTATGTATGTCCTAATTCTACGAGGGCTCTTTAAGCAGCAAAAATCCAGCAGTTTCTTCTACCACAACCTCCACTGATCTTTACAGCCAGTCATAATGAGGGTTTATCTTCCTGGTGCTGTAACCCTGGGCTGTGTGGTCTGGCCTGGGGCTGGGATCGCTCACTACCAAGGTGTCGCTCCTGATTTTTATCCATGGTACATGAATGTGGGACCCACTATTCTGCCACCACCACTGCTGCTGCCTCTCTGCACGTCTCCATGACTCTGATCCTCCTAGCTGTCTGGATGGATATGGCTTCTTTAAATCCTTGGTTGTCAGACTTCCATAAAGCTTGACTTTATGACAGTTCTGGGTGTCAATTTGTTTTGGGCTCTGGTTGGGTTTCTATGGTTGCCTGAGGAGTCATAGTGTGTCTACCTATGCCTCCATCTTGACCAGCAGCCTTTTAGTTCATAAGTTTCTAGAACAAGAGTGTAGTAGACCATCCTGTGTGGCATGGGCCCAGTCCCCAGTGGCAAATATTTACTGCAAAGTAACTTCCTAAAAACCATGCTAAACCTTCCAAGGATGAGTGTAACCGGTTCAACTACTTTTGCCTTTTCATTTGCAAATATCCCTCTTCTGTGATGTGATTAGCAGCATTGGCTCCTTTGTTTTCTGTAAAAAGTAACCACCTAAAGTGAACCTGTGCATAGTAAATGAAGACCATCAATGGGGGGAGAAACTCAATAAAGGCCTGTCATGGCAGAGGCCATGGCTCTTGCTCCCCTTGAAAGACAAGCCATATTGTCCCTTTTCCTCCACCAGACTCGGTAGTCCATGTGAATGTCTCATTTCATCCATAATGACATGGACACCATGGGCCAGCATCTGCATCAAAGAGGAGCCATATCCACACCTGATATAAAAATAATCACAGAATCCTAGACTTGGAACCTGATGTCATGTTTGGGTAGAACTCTTAGGGCATCTTTCTTGGAAAGTTTGTTGGTATACGTTGCTTGTGGAAGGGAGGAAAATGAATATTTTGACTAAATGGTGGGATGTGAAGGTTGTATTATTGTTTTATTATTTTTGCCCTCACTGTAAGATTATATATCCTCACTTATTGCCATTTGATCTTCAATGTCTCCCTGTGGGAGGAGTACACTTCCCCACCAGTGATGTCAGGTTTGCCCTCCATGTGTTTTGCTTTATCAATGGAATGTGAGCTGAAGTATTTTATGTAAAATCTGAGCAGGAGCTTTTAAGTCCATAGCATGGTTCTGCCATTGTTCATTTCCCTCTGCTGTGAGAAGGGAACATCCCAGATAGAGGCTGTCCTTCCAGTTAGGATCGGAGAAAAAGGGGACACATGAAACAGCCAACATGGAACATAAGCAAGAATTAACCTTTGTTTTGCAAGTTATTTGTTCTACAAGTTACTACAGATTAGTCCAGTAAAAGCTGACTAATACACAGAGGGGTCTGTGGAGTCCGAGGAAGTTCTTCTCTTTGTCTCTTCCAGTGCCTTCTCTTTTTATCATCTCCTAGCTAATGAGTACCTTTTCTATAAAAGGCTGGACCAGGATGCTGCCTCCCAGTCTCTAAATTTATGGATTACATTGTATGTGGAGCCTGTTTATGGGTTAAGACCATTTTCCTCCATCTCTTCTCCATACCCTTCTGTTCCAAGAGCTCCTCAGCTTGGGCCTCAGCCTGGTTCATATCTCTGCCAAGAGGCAGCTACATGTCATCAGATAAGAAAGGGGAAAATAGGGAGATGGGAGGGCAATGGTGGGGGACACAAAAGGATACTGGCAATACCTCCCTCCATTTCTTACTGATGTCACATGCAAAGCTTTGTTTATCATCACTCTCAAAATCTACCATGGGTTCATATATAAAGGATTAAAAGACAACCCCAAGAGCCATCTTCCCTAGCTTAGTCCACTCTGGGATGGGGACCTCACCAAGGCTGCGGGCAGGGTGTACAGTCCAGTAGATGTCCAGGCAGGTAGTTTGGTTCTTCATGCGCCGGTGGCATGTGCAGGTCATCAGAGAGCTATTCCTGAGGTGCTGTGCTGCCTCCAAGCAGTCTGCAGAAACTGCAGGTTCCTCTGCAGGTGATGGGATGCAGGAATTCAGGTGGTGGTAAGCAGCATTACAAGTGGGATCGGCCTGGCATTTCTTCCTGGCCTGGATACAGCTGTTCATGAGCCGACCCCCTGTGGGGCGGATGTTCCCTGTGAAGGCAGAGAGACCAAATAAGGCTCACATAAGGTCATAGTAGCCACCTGGGAGTATAAAGCCCTCAAGAAAGGTGAAGAGTGGGGAGGAACTCAGGTGAAGCTTTGGGCAGAAAAGTCTTGGGGTGGTACAAAAGGCCTTCAGGAATAAGTGTGGGGAGCAGGAAGCCTAACAGGAGTGGATAACAGATCCAGCCCAAGAGGAAGGAAGTGGGAGTCTAAAGAAAGCCTCCTGTGCTTAGCCTCCTGTGAGGGGAAGGGGGACAATTGTTTAAAGATGACCTGATGACCCTGTCAGATGTAGGGAGGAGGGCTTTTGGCAGAGCTATGCCATGGGTGGAGCTAGCATCATAACCAGAGAGTTGAGAATGTGTGTGGGCATGCTTAATGAGAGTTAGCAATAATTCTGACATCACTTAAAATACCTTACAGTGGGAACGGGTTGGGGTTAGGGTGGGGGATTTTGCTGATTCTGTCACTCGCTCAGGAATACCAAAGTTGGCTATTGCTCAGCTATGGAGGAAGGCCCCGCATCCTAAGGCTCAGGTTCCCTATCGAGGGGTAACAGAACACCATCATACCCCCAGTTTTTCAAGGCAAAACATCTAGGAGTCATTCTTAATTCTTCTCTTTCCTTCACATCCTACATTCAATCCAACAAGTCCTGTCAGCTCCACAACATATCTGGAATCTGTCCACCTCTCCACATCAATTACTACCTCTTTTGCTCTACTCACCATTAACTCTTGTCTGAACTGCTGCCAAGACTCATTCATTGGTCTCTCTGACTCCATCTTCCAAATTCATTCTAAACCACTCACCCCACCTTTTCTTCTTTCCACCTTTATTGAGATATAATTGACATATAACATTGTGTGGTTTAGGTGTACAGAGTGATGATATGATACACATGTATAGTGAAATGATTATCACAGTAAGATTAGCTAACATATCCTTCACTTCACACAATTACTACTTTGTTGTTGCAGCCAACTTTTTTAATGAAAATGTTTTGGTTGGGAAATATTTTTAAAAAAATAAAATTCATGCACCCTGGCTGGTGTGGCTCAGTGGATTGAGCATGGGCCTGTGAACCAAGGGGTTGCTGTTCGATTCCCTGTCAGGGCCTGGGTTTAGGGAGGGGCAGGTCCCCAGTGTGGGTTATATGGGAGGCAACCACACACTGATGTTTCTTTCCCTCTCTTTCTTCTTCCCTTTTCCATTCTCTAAACATACATTAATAAAATCTTTAAAAAAGTTTATGCAACCTAAAATTAACCATCTTAAAGGGTACCAGTAAGTGGCATTTAGTACATTCATGATTGTTGTAAACCATCACCTCCATCTAATTTCAATATATTTTTGCACTTCAAAAGGAAACCCATGCCCACTAAACACACTGTTCTACCTTCCTCCTAGTTGCTGGCAACCACTAAACTGATTTCTGTCTCTATATGTTTTCCTAGATATTTTATGTAAATGGAATAATAAAATATTAAATCTTTTATATCTGGCTTCTTTCACCTAACATGCTGTTTTTAAGGTTAGTCCACATTGTAACATGTATCAGTACTTCATTCCTTTTTACAGAAGAACAATATTTCATTGAGTGGATATACATTTTGTTTATCCATATATCAGTTGATGGACATTTGGGTTGTTTCCTTTTGGTTACTGTGAATAGTGCTGCTGTAAACATTCATGTACAAGTATTTGCTTGAATATTTGTATTCAGTTCTTTTGGGTGTACACCTAGGAATGGATTGCTGGGTCATATGATAATTCTATATTTAACTTTTTGAGAAACTACTGAATTATTTTCCATAGTGGCTGTACCTTTTCACATTCCTACTAGAAATATAGAAGGGTTTCAATTTCTCCATATACTTGCCAACTCTTGTTATTTTTTTTAAACAGCTATCCTAATGGGTGTGAAGTGGTATCTCATTATGGTTTTCATTTGAATTTCCCTAATAACTAATAATGTTGAGTATATTTTCATAGTAGCCATTTGTATATCATGTTTGGTAATAATTTTTTTACTGAGGTATAACATACAGAAAAGTACATAAATCAAAAAAATACAATTCAATGAATTTCTAATTGAATACTCCTGTGTAGCCAGACAGGTAAAGGACCAGAACATTACCAACACCCTGAAGGCCTTCTGACAGTCACCATCCCCCCCCAAGGAAACCAGCATCTTTATTTCTAACATTAGAGATTAATTTTTCCTGTTTTTCAATCTAACAACATGTGCTTTTGGTGTCTTGGCTTCTTTAGCTCAAGTGTTATGTTTATGAAATTCACCCATACTGTTAAGTGTACTTGTAAATAACTTATTTTTGTTGCTATATAGCATTCCATTCAATGTAACATAATTCTATTATGTACCCTGCTTTAAAAAACCTTGTAAGATGTGGTCCCTGCACACTTTTTCTTTTATTTCTTTTAACAACTGATAGTCTATTTATTTAAAAGGTTAATTTAAGCATCTACAATGATGACTTCAACCTCAACTCCTGGCTCAGTACTCATGGAAGTAATCTGCTTTACAATCTCAGAAGGACCATGTAAGTCAGTGAGTGGCTTGTGGATCCTCATCTGAAATTGATCCCAAGTCTTAGAACGCTCCCCAAAGGGACTTTTCTTGCAGTGATTCTCTGAGTCTTGGTAGGCATCCGAACTGGTCCTTTCACTTTGAGATTCTTTTCCTTTGCACCTCTGATCAAGTCAACACACACACACTTTCTCCAAAGACTGTACATCCTGGCTGGTCAGAGTTATTCTAATTCAGAGAATCTCTACCTCTGGTTCCACAGATGTCTTTCCAGTATCTGTGGCTTGGCTTCCTGATGGACTTGTTCCTCATTGAGAGTGAACATCGGTGAGTCAGGAGCAGAAGTGGGCTGAGCTGCAGCAGCAACCTCATCTTCCTCAAAAAGTCCACTTCTTTAATTTCACCTCCTGGTCCTCTCCTCCTCTTCCACTCCTCTCTGTCTACACTAACCTTTTCTCTGGATGCCATTGAATAAGACAAGCTTGTGTCCACTTTAGCGTTTTCATCCTAGTCTTTCTTTCTGCTTGGAGAGCTCTTTCCCCTGATCTTCACATGGTTGTTCCCTTCTGGTAATTCAGCTTGCAGTTTAATGCCATCTCAGAAAGGCCATCCCCAACCAATGGATGTAAAATAACCCCCTAACTACTCTAACACATTATTACTTCAAATCTCTGCATAGCACTTATCACCACTTGATTTTCTTTTACTTAATTTTTTCTGATTATCTCCCCCTCTAGACTTCCATGTTTATCTCATTGCTACTCTGTCACCAGTGCCTATTATTTGTGGGCTCCTATTAAGAAATAGCCAGATAGACTTCTAGTAAAGAGGGAGGCATAGGTACACACGTTTTGCCCCCTTGCATGACCATAGAAAAATTACAACCAGATCTCAAAACAAAATAACACCCAGAACTGCCAGAAAATCAATCTGTATGGAAGTCTGACAACCAAGGATTTAAAGAAGCTACATTCATCCAGATGAACAGGAAGGTCAGAGTCCCAGAAACAGGCAGACAGGTGGTGTGGTGCAGAGAGGTGGCAGCAGTGGCAGTGGAACAGACAATCCCACATTCACGAATGGTGGATAAAAATTAGGAGGGATACCTTGGGAGCCAGTGATCCCAGACCCAGGCCAAACCAAAAAGCCCAGGTGTCCAGCATGTCAAGATAAACTGTATTACCTCTGGCTGTAAAAACCAAATGCGGGTTGGGGTGGCAGAAGAAACTGCCGGATTTTTGCCACTTAAAGAGCCAGTATGAACTTAGAGCATACGCAAATCCACCCACTCTGGGTTTCACCACCAGGGCAGCAGCTGGTAGGGTGCCAGCCACATATAGGGAGTGGGGGAAGTGATTGGAAATGGGGTAAGAAGCCAGGCAATGGCATTGTCCCCTCTCTGAACCCTCCCCACACACAGAGTCACAAAGTGGTGCAGTGGGTTGCCCCACCCTGCCAATTACCTAAGGCTCTGCCCCACAAAATTTACAGGTGCCTTTTCTACATAGGCCATCCTACTAAGACAGGGAATAAAAGCAGCTCTACCTATTACACAGAAACAAACACAGGGAGGTTGCCAAATTGAAGACACAAAGAAATATGGCCCAAATGAAAGAACAGAACAAAACCCCAGAAAAAGAACTAAGCAAAAGGGAGATAGCCAAACTATCAGATGCTCAAAACACTGGCAATCAGGATGCTCAGAGAACACATTAAGTACAGAAACAACATAATGGAAGAAATTAAGTCTACGTTCAGTGAAAAAAAAATTCACAGGGAACCAGCAGTGAGGGGAATGAAGCCAGAATTCAAATCAACAATTTGGAACACAAGGAAGAAATAAATAGTCAACCACTACATAATGAAGAAATAAGAATGCAAAACAAACAAACAAACAAACAAACAAAAAAAACAAGGAGAGAATAAGAAGACTCTGGGACATCTCCAAATGTGCCAACATCCAAATTATAGGGATGCCAGAAGTAAAAGAGGAAAAACAAGAAATTGAAAACTTATTTGAAAAAATAATGAAAGAAAACATCCCTATTTTGGCAAAGGAAATAGACATACAAGTCCAGGAAGCACAGAATGTTCCAAACAAGTTGGACCCAAAGAGGGCCACACCAAAACACATTATAATTAAAATGTCAAAGGTTAAAGACAAAGAGAGAATTTTAAAGGCAGCAAGAAAAAAGCAGAGAGTTACCTACAAAGGCTTACCCATAAGACTATCAGCTGGTTTCTCAAAATAAACTTGGCAGGAAAAAAAGGACTGGCAAGAAGTATTCAAAGTGATGGAAAGCAAGGACCTACAACCAAGGTTACTATATCCGGCAAAGCTATCATTTAGAATGGAAGGGCAGATAAAGAACTTCCCAGACAAGGTAAAGCTAAAGTTCATCATCGCCAAGCTCTTATTATATAAAATGTTAAAGGG